TGTTTCTTGTTTTGGTTTTCAGGGTAATTGCAATATTGCAAAGTGTTTCCTTCGTGCTTTCTTTCTTCGTTTCGGTGTCCCCCTGCTGATGTCGGTAATAACGCAATTTTTACCTTGAACGGGGTCAAAATAGACAGCCAAACACAAACAAAGCTACATGAAAGACCATAATAAGCGAGTAAAACATAATCGATTTTAGCCAAAAGAAAAAAATCCAAACTAAATGTGGGCGTATTTAGAGCGGATATTTTGAAATATATTGTGGCAAATTGGCAATGAAAATCCATGAAGGCGAACTGTATAAAAGTATCTTGGGTATCTTACTACTTTGCTGTTACATTTTAAAGTGCTCGCGTTTCTATTGCCAAACATTAAACACCAAGCGGTGGATATTTCTTACATTAATTGGATGCTGTTGTTTGCTATCGTTTTGTGATAAATTGAGTAGTTTCGAGCTTATTAAGGTAGCGAGAAAATTGAGGTTGTATTTAACTGACTTTGTGATAATGCAGCAATGAAAAATGTATTCGTAACACCCTAGGGCATACCATCATGGATACAAATCTAACCATGTTCGGTTACTCCAATTAAAATAAATAACAAATACCAACTTTCAGACAAATCCGTGAAAAAATGTGGTAAAATCATCAAAATACCGAATATCGGTACCTTTTAATATGGGGGCTATACCAAAACGTGGATCTATACATGCAATGTTTTGCAACACGCACAGGGGCCCGTTATGACCTACAAATACCAATTTTCAGACAAATCCGTGAAAAAGTGTGGCATAAATCATCAAAATACCGAATATCGGGAGGTACCGTTATATGGGGACTATACCAGAGCGTGGACCGATATATCTCATTTCAATACCAACCATCCTAGACACAATACAAATTGTTCTGCTAAATTTTGGCGCTCTATGTTAAATAAAGTGAGCTGTATCAACAGACAGACAGGCGGACAGACAGACAGACGGATATCGTTAAATCGACTTAGAGTTTTATGCTGATTTTGAATATATATACTTTATGGGGTCTACGACGAATATTTGAGGATGCTACAAACGGAATGACAAAGTTAATATACCCTCCATTCCAAAGTGGAAGATATAAAAAGAATAGTTCCTTTTAAAACGACGAACATTATGAAAGCGATTGAAAATTGAAAAAAAAGCATTTCTAAAGTCCATTACTTATAAATCAGTCTTTTAATAACCTTGAACTTATTTAATACCACAGCACAGATTTACTCTTCTTATTACTCTTTACTCCTTTATTTTGTGTGGGACCGCTCGCGAGTCACCCTTGTTTGAGATTAGAATGGCTGTATCGCTCGAAATGGAGTGAGATTTACTCTTTTTAATACGGGAGCAAAACTTGCTCACGAGCAGTGTCATAACTTTTGACAGAGATGTCACATCGCTTAATGACATACCGCGTTTGAAGCGTCAGTCCAAGCAGATTTTTACCATGAACCAATACACGCCATGCGAGCGCTCTGAAATAGTTGAAATTTACAAGAAGTCAATTGTGAAAACTCAACGTGCTTTTAAAACATTAAAAAATGTGAGATGTGCGCCTTCTAAGAACACCATTAAGCGTTTATACGAAAAATTTTCGACTGGTATGGCTCTTTCTAATCCGAAGAGGCCATATAAAAGTCGACCAAGGCGATCGGCCGAGAATATCGCTGCCGTACGAGCCAGTGTTGAGAGGTCCCCCAAGAACATCCCAAAAACGCCGTTCTCAGCAGTTGGGCATGGCTCGGTCCACTTTACAACGGATTATTCGCATTGATTTGCATTTGTACCCGTACAAAATTCAATTGACGCAAAGAATGTTGCCTGCGGACAAGCCTGGTCGATTGGAATGGGCCCAAAGGTCTGTCGAATATGGGCAACCTTGTATGTGACTGGAAAACCACAAGTGGCTATCGTTAGAGCACCCCAGCTTTTAAATGTTAATAAATCTTTTGTGTTTCGTACCATCGCTCGTTACCGTGATACTGGTAGCGTAGCCCGATGTCAAGGAAGTGGACGGAAGAAAACAGCAACATCAGCAGAAATAGTTCCAAAAAAAATAAAGAAGCGACTTGATCGAAACCCGCTTCGCATTGGCCGAAAAATGGCTCGTGAGCTGAACATATCGCAGTATTTCATTCGCAAATATTTAGAAATGAGCTCGGGGTAAATATATTAAAATTCCAAAAAGTGAAAGAACTTATACCGCTGCAGAAAGAAAATAGACTCAGAAGAGCTAAAGAGTTGCTTCGCTTGGCCGAAAGTGGTGAACTGCCGAATTTGGTTTTCTCCGATGAGAAAACATTCGGTATCCAGCACTTTGTAAACAAACAAAATGATCGTGTTTACTTACCAAAGAGGTCAGCTGAAAATTTGCACCTTCGGTTGGCCACCAGAACTCAAACGCCGGCCATGGTGATGGTGTGGGCCGCCATAATAGGCGATGGTCGCTTTCTGCTCGTATAAATTGACCGTGGCATCAGAATAAATGCCGAATATTATCGCAAAAATATTCTGGAGGGTGTATCAAAGCCTTGGGCACGCAAACATTTTGTCCGCAGACCTTGGACATTCCAACAGGAAGCAGCACGCGCCACCCAAGAAGGGTTACAAAATGAGGTTTCTCGCTTCATTTCCAGCGCACAATGACCGCAGAGCAACATTCGAGCAGCGTGTGACGGTTTCATTGGCCGTTTGAAGGCCATAATTCGTGCACAATTTTCTTGTAATTTAGCCCATACTAATATTTTTATCTATGTTAGATGAAGTATGAAAATGAAATACTTCGATTTTCTCTCGTGGCCCACGCACTATTTATACCCTACAACACTATGTGTTGGGGGTATTATAAGTTTTATTGGGCCAAAAATTATGTAATACTTCGAAATATTGGTTTCCCACATAGGAAAGTATATATAGATGTTCCTATCTCGCCGAGCTGAGTCGATCTAGCTATGTATGTCCGTCCGTCCGTCTGTACGTCTGTCCATGTTAATTTATAATCATTCTACAGGTCGCAATTATGGCCCGATCTTCACGAAATTTAGAATGGAGGGGCTACGGTCAGAATATAACCCTATTTCTTTTGGAGATGATCGCATAATATTTAGGTTTTGAAATGGAGCAAAAACTAAAAAAAATCCTGATTTTGCAGTTGCTCTACAGGTCGCAATTATAGACCACTCAAAGCAGAAGTTGGCATGGTGCTAGAGCTTAGGGCTGGGCAGAAGCCATCCAATTTTGATGGTCATCGGGTAATATTTAGTGGGTGAAATAGGCCATAACATTTGTGTTAAATAAAAGTAAGTTTTTCCAGTTTTGTGACATATTTTTATTTTTTCATATTTTCTATCGCCTGCGATTTTTTCAATTTGACTTTTTTTATTTTTTTTCACCTTACAACACAGGTTGGGGATATTATATAAGTATTACAAATATCTTCGATCCTCACGAAAATTTTCACAACGGTAGGGTTGGGCTCAGAAGGGCTAGGCCTATTGTTTTCAAAGATGTCGGCAATATATTAGGGGGTTGAAATGGACCAACAACTAAAAATATTCCTAATTTTGCAGCCGTTATAAAGGTCACAAGTAGAAACCAAAGGACACGAAATCTTGCGTAAAGTTAGAGTTTAGGACAGCGGGTACAATGGACCACTAATTTTATGTGAAAAAATAGCATCATTACTTACAGGCGATATCCGAAATACACAAAAGGCGAACTTCTGGCTTTTTTATGCTGATTTCGTTGACGAATATAGCCAAATATCATAGACAAGCTAAGGATATAGATGAATAAATTTTAAGATACAGGGGCTTCTTGCTTTTGGAGATGATTGCAAAATATTTAGGGGTTCAAATTAACCAAAAACAGAAATGTTTTTCCGATCACACAATTGAAGCCAATCGACACGCCTGTGAAAAGAGTTAAGAACAGGGAAGAATTCTAGCATTTTGGATGACTATTTTATTATATTGAGCTTTAAAATGGACTACAACAACTAACAGCCCGACGGAGTGCATAAATGTTGGGCAAATGTCCCTGGTCAAAATCCTAATTTCAAAAGCGAAATCTTCCAATATTGATTTGGAAATAAGGTGGCTTTTAACATATTGTAGTGTTGTAGTGTATAAAATAGTCGGCCCCGCACGACTATAGCCTTTGCTTACTTGTTTTTATCCATTATTGTCCAAACATGGCACGTCACAATATAAACACCATATTTATTTAGGTCCGATACGAAATAGACAATACTGGCCCATACGTTCGGACAATACTGGCCCATATGTTCGGAACCAAAATATATTTAAATAATCGAACATTGGCTGAGGGTGCACATCTTTCGGCTAAGCTGACTGATGCTTTTAACTTGTTTAATTGTAATTTGATATACATTAACAAAAACAGTATATTGTGTTTAGGAGGCGTTAAGAAACTTCAGACCAGACATGATCTTTGAGTAAATGAGCGATAGTCCAATGAGTTTATGCTTTATTGCTCTAACAAAAGCTAATATTCATCGAAAATCATAACTTTATCATTCCTATAAAACACAACACAAACCAATGTTATGACAGCCCTATGACAAATATTATTTATATCACATAAATATCTCCACAATAATATGTCATATAAAACCAAAACATTTCTTTGGGGATACCACAAATCCCCGCCTCCATTCAATTCTTTTAAAGAAAACATGTCATAATAAACACATCATTGTGATGTCTTTATTCCGGCGGATAAACAGTGGTAAACAACCTCTACCATCGTGACACATGTTTGAGGGGCGCCCTCGACAATCCAGCAACGAAACCAAAAAATGAGATTTAAGTTTTTTTCCCCTCTTTAAATATAACAAAACCTTCTGGATGTTTTTTAAACGATAATCTTACTAATTATTATCAACATTTTTTAATCTTATATACATTTATTTTAATTTTTTTATTCTTTCCTTTCTACCTTTTCTTTACAGCTTGGCAGACATCAGCAGACAAAAAGGTAGATTCAAATACAAAAGAATCGTGCCCTTTACAGAAAAATATCCAGATGGACAGAATCTCGGTTTGAACACACCTTATTCGGTGATAGCAACGTGAAAAGAAGTAAAATATTGTCAGCTCCAGTTTTGTTTGTTTTTCTCAAATTCCATTAAAACAATACCGCACCGCGACAAGTGAACAAATAAATGATTTGTTTTTGGATTCCGTCGTCGTCGTCGTCATTGTCATTGTTTTTGTATTTTTGAATAAAATCGTGTACATTTCAAAATCAAAAGATTGTACAGGATATTTACGTTTGCCGTTGACATCTTTGTAAGCATCGGAACCTGTACGAGTTTTTGTGTGTGTGTGTGTTCTTTTATTTTAATTTTATCTTTATTAACAAAGCCAGAAAACAAATGTGTTCTCCCGATCGTCGCCTAGTTTACAAAAGAAAATTGGTGGTTTAATGTGTTTTGTCTTTTTTTTAATGCGTGTGTATAATTTTTAAATATTAAAATCATTTCAACGTCGCCACAGTGTAATAAAATTAATTGTTTTCTTTACACACACACACCGACACCAAAGCGATGACATATCGCCATAAGAAATAAAAATTATTCTCCATTTCAAAAAAATAACAAAAACGTGATTGTAATAAAAAAATATTGCCACTTTGTAAATGAAAACCAAAACAAAAGTGTTTTTCAAAATAAAGAAAAAAATTATCATCGAAAAAATATTCTGCTCAATAACGTAGTAGTATTTTGAATTGTGTCATATATAATTTTATAAATTCCTAAAAAAATGAAATTGGTAATTGTTGTGCTTTAAAATCAAAATTTCCGTGAGAATATTCGTTTTGCGTTCTTAAATTATTAAATTACCATATTAAACATTTCCCGTCATCAATTATGGATTTTAGCTGTTCTGGAATTATAATGAGATTCTAACAATAAATTGGATGTGAACAAATGTAAGTAGTTATTTAGTTACATCAATATATATTGCAAATGCTGGTCATGTAATGTATTAAGAAAATAGACAAATTCTTGTTTTTTAATTTTTTAAAAAAGGTGTGGTAGTTAAGCGATATGTTGGGCGCCATTATATATTTGCAAGCGTGTTATGGAATCTCAAATTTCAAAAAGATTCAATGAATTTTGTCGTTTTTGTTTAAACCTCTTTGGGTAGGTATCAGGAAATTTACAATATTGGCCCATTCCTCTTTGGCCAATGAAACCGCAAAAAGATTGAATAATAATTCTCGCAAAGTCATGTCTGAAAATTATGGATATTGGTGAATTCTTTCTGATACCCTTAGATATAGATACATCTCAAACCAATGTAGTTAAAACTTAGGGTCTGATGTAAAACTGGGTAATATTCCTGAAATCGATTTGTCTCTCCCATTAAAGTTTTTTTTTCTAATTACAATGGGAAATAATTTCCAAATTCCAATATTTTTGTCTACAGTAGGGTAAATGTGAAACTGGAGTGCATTGGTCCAATCTTGTCTGGTCCCCCACAAATGTTCAAAAATTTTATCAAAGAAGAATAAAAATGTTGTTTTGGGTTGTCCAAACTCTCGTTTAGATCTCTCTCTCAAATTTAGCGTCCGCGCTCGCCAAAATGTTCCCATTATTACATCATGTGTAACAGGTACAAAAGCGGCTAAGTCCAGCCGGGCCGGACTTTTAATACCTTCCATTACGTGGAAGAAACTCGAAAAATTCCGTCAAAAAAATACCGCTTAAATAAAACCATTATATGGGAGCTTTACGAAGACCAGGACCAGCATAACTAGTTTTTTCTCATAGGTTGTAGTACCGATTCCAAACTTCAAATATGAAATTTAAAACAATTATGGTAAAAAATGTCACTAAAATCATCAAAATGCCGAATATCGGGAGGTACCGTTATATGGGGTGTATACTATGTAGTTACGTTCAATTTTATGCAGATCAAGAATAGGGAACGCCCTGCCATGATTTTCCAAAATTTTTGAGGGTTCACCCTCCTTGCAGATATTCGATATTTTGATGGTTTGTGTATGTTCAGGTCGTAAATATAGATCCTAGTGGATCTCTACACCACATACTCTTAAGGGTATTATGTCTTTGTGCATTTGTTTGTAACATGGAGAATGAAGCGAGATAGATACATAGTTACTTTTGAGGATCTTTACAGAATCACTTTCTGAGTCAATTTATGCATGTCAGTCCATCTGTCAATGCAATTTGTGAACAAAATGCTGTTTGTATTTATTATCCGAGGGAGATAAAATTTTTCCAAACAATATTTGTTTGGCCCAAGGACGAACCCTACTGAAATTGGTGAGAATCGGTTCAAGTTTCGATATAGCTCCCACATGATGATCAATATCAGGCCAAATGAACTGAATTTTAGCACATCCGACCGAATTCAGTCTAGAAGCAAGTCCCATGTATTTTGGTTTTAAGTCCCTCACTGGAGTAATAAACATCCCACATTAATGATATTTGGTAAAAATACCTCTGCCAAATTTTATCGATATTGGATCAGATTAGGATATAGCTCCCATACATCTCTTTATCCGATGTCAAGTTTATTGTGCACCAAATCGCTAATTTCAGCCTAAATGGACTGAGTTTCGACAATTCCGACTGAATTCATCCTAGAAACAAGTACATCAAAAATCGGTTCAGATATAGCTATAGCTCCTATACACATGTTTTATCCGATTTGGTCTTAAATTCGCTCACATATATAATATGGCCCCCACAACAAAAATCTTTGGTACCAAACAGCAACTACAGCTCAGAAATAAGTGTTTAACGTTTTATCAAGATCGGTTAGGATTTGGATATAGCTCCCATATATATCTTCATCCGATTTCAGGTTTTTTGTGCACCAAATGGCTAATATCTCGCCAAATAGACAGAATTTTGGCACAAATTTTGGTGAAAATCGGTTCAGATATATCTATAGCTCCTATATACAGGGTTGCCCATATTCGACGGACCTTTGAGCCCTTTGGGCCCATTCCAATCGGCGAGGCTGCGTCAATTGAATTCTGTACGGGAACAAATGCAAATCAATGCGAATAATCCGTTGTAAAGTGGACCGAGCCATGCCCAACTGCTGAGAACGGCGTTTTTGGGATGTTCTTGGGGACCTCTCAACACTGGCTCGTCCGGCAGCGATATTCTCGGCCGATCGCCTTGGTCGACTTTTATATGGCCTCTTCGGATTAGAAAGAGCCTTACCAGTCGGAAATTTTTCGTATAAACGCTTAATGGTGTTCTTAGAAGGCGCACTTCTCACATTGTTTTTTTTTTTCAGAATTTACTTCTTCTGCTGAATGTAAATTTCAACTATTTCAGAGCGCTCGCGTGGCGTGTATTGGTTCATGGTAAAAATCTGCTTGGACTGACGCTTCAAACGCGGTATGTCATTAAGCGATGTGACATCTCTGTCAAAAGTTATGGCGTTGCCAGATGGGTCCGTCGAATATGGACAACTCTGTATATGTATCATCCGATATAGTCTTAAAATCCCTCCATCCCTATCGTTTAATACCACTTCTTGTGGTATCTTCCCCACAAAAGGTCGAAATTTTAAAAATATATATTTTCTGCACAATAGTCCGATTTTGCTCCAACTTTGCAAATCCTAATGTTTGCGTTATTTCTGTCAGGCAAAAAATGGATAATATCGCTGTACTTCATCAAGTGCCTCCCCCACAAAGGGTCAAAATTTCGAATAATTATAACTCTTATAAAATGTGATGCAAGAATCCGATTGTCTAAGAATTTCACACATCCCAATATTTTTATAGACCCAAGATCTGGTGAATATATCAGTCCACTCCTTCTGGTACCTCCCTCAAAAAGGGTTGAAATTTCGAATATCTATTAAGCTCAACTTTTTTGGGTTCATAACAAATTCCTAACATAAAAACAAAATATTTGTGCTTCTAATTATGCGTTTACATTCATCATATTGACAGATTGCAGAAATCCAACAATCCCCTACATATTTTTATAGAAAAAAAATCTATAAGAATAATCAACAACATTGTATTGCACAAAATAGTTGTTGACCTTCAAATTAATATGCCAAAACCGGAGGAGCTCACCAAAAAAACCGGCATTACTTTTAAATTGCCAAAATAAAACAAATTAACGAAACATATATTGGCTTTAATGTAAACAATCACTTATAAAATCCCAATGTTTCTGGTACATGCAAAAGAAAAAAAAGCAATCCGAACAAAAATGGCAAATTTTAATGATGTCTGTCAAATGTGGACATTAATTAATTGTGAGCATCATCAGCAGCAGCAGTTGTTTTTTTTTTTTCATTTTTTTTGCCTTGTCAAAATGCTAGAGTGACAGACTCAGTGACAAATACATTTAAAGATTGCTGGGCCTTCAGTTTATCCACCACAAATGGCGGGAAAAATCTTGACAAGCTTTATAATTAAAGTCGACATAATAAAATTGTTCGCCGTGTCTCGTTTTGAATGCAAAATTTAACCAAATTTGTAGATATGGTCTGAATTTGCAGCTACCAAATTTGGGGAGAATGATTAACAGAGTTTCAAATGGAATTCATTTTCTTAAATGATGAAACGTGATTAGATTTGGTGTGCGAGTGATGAAATAAGATTGTTGAAGAGATTGCAGCTATAAAAGATTCATACATTCTAGTGGCTAAAAACAACTGAATTAAGATTCACACATGACATATAAGAAGAACAAATGATTTATTTAGGAAAATTTTACGAAATCCCAGTTTCGAAAAGTCCTTACAGTCATCAGAAAGTTGTGGAATACTGGAATCCGACATTCATGATTTATAGCTTTTTATCCTAAAACTTTCTTTTCTCCATGGAAACTATAAAATTCTAAGAAAACTTCATCCAATTGCATAAAAACTCCATAAATTTTCCCTTTTACTTTTTTTTCACAATATTGTTGCCATCAGAAAAACCCACAACAAAACCAGTGATAACCTCCATGTTCCGTTTTTCCCAACATTGGTTTTCCAACTTTTCGTTAGGTCGCCTTGGATCTGTGATTCATCTTCATTTTCTTTTCCATTTCATGTTGTACGTGCTTCAATTTTTCCGAAAAGCTTCCTGTATCTCAAGTTAGTGGCCTCCACTTCTTTGGCGTTGGTTGGCTGGTTTGTCGTTTTTTTTTTTTTGTTTCTTCTCCTCGCTTCAAATTATCAAACAAACATTGAAGCGTTGGACGACCCTCGATGCTCCCAATGCAATCGAAAGGTCTTCTTTTCGCTCTCCATGAAATGAAAAACCAATATCTTATTGCTAATGTTTTGTTTGGTTTTCCACAAATGTTTTTCTTTTTCGTTGTTGTTGTTGTTGTTACTGTTGCAATACTGATTATCTAGAAATACGGCAAAGCGAAAAAACGTAGAAGATGAGTTTTACGTGACATTTCAAAGGAAAATTATTAAAGAAAAGTACTAAGAAAATTATATGTAGGTATTTGTGTATGTAAGGTTTTATGTAGCCTTTTTGGTGATATTTAATGATTTATTTATTCTTCTTTGGTTGGTTGGAAAATGCATGTTTCTTTTTGTTGCTGCTTCCATCATAAATTAACTCAGCAGAGTCGAGAGATCATAAAAGTTCAATTTGTTATAAAAATGTTGCAATATTATTTTTTCTGGAATTGATAAATTGAGAAAATTAAACAGAAATGGAATATGAGTGGTTAAAAGTGAAAAGGTCAAGAGTTCATTGTAAACCACATCATTGTGGGATACATTTTTTCTAAAGAAAAAAAAACATCCTCAGAAGACCAGAGGAAATTTTTTCTATAGAAAAAAACCATCCTCAGGGGAACTGAGAAAATTTTTTCTATAGAAAAAAACCATCCTCAGGGGAACTGAGAAAATTTTTTCTATAGAAAAATCCATCCTCAGGGGACCTGAGAAAATTTTTTCTATAGAAAAAACCATCCT